ATGTATGTACGGCAGCCCGAGCGGACAATCCAGCCAGCCAGAGAACGCGTTTCGCGTGTATAAATGAACCAACGAAGACAGCGGAAGGAAGGAAGAAGGAGGAGGAAACAGCAGAGAGTGTTAGTAGTTCATTGATAGAGAGTAGTGAAAAGTTTTTTTAGTTATAAAGTTTGCGAATGGACCACACTTACCACGCAACAGGAGAAAATGAACCCGAACCGTCATCTGCGAGGAAAAGAAGACGCAACTTCACTCCTTGTGATGCACTCTCTGCGGTGCTTTTCCTCCTGATGATATATCTCCCCAGCGATGGTAGCAGTAGCACCGAATCCCATTCTGTGCATTCAGCCTCTCTTCTCGCCCACTCAGCATCAAACACATGGAGTTCCTCATCTGTATGCTCCGGCTCAAACAGGTATGGCTCTGGGTCTGTGTCCGCTACAACAAACTCTTCAAAATCGCATTCAAAGTCGTCCATTGCAGCTACTATAGTCCGGAGATATCGCTAGGCTAAATAAACAGCTGAGCTCTGTTTACCGGCTACACTGTCAGTCAGTGTGCGGGCTGGAGATTGAGCAGTTTCTGGAGTGCTCAAATAAACGGGCCTTTTTCCCGAACGCTACTCTGGTCTCCTGCTTGAGTGGGATTCATTACAATATCGTAACATGGCTTAGATTTCTAAATAAACATTCACCTCGTCGCTAAATAGACCTACTCCTGAAAAACTTGTGCGAAAGGCTTTTTGTCCCTACGAGGCCACCGTCATTTACCCAACGGGAGGGGTGAGCGAGTGAGCCCTGCAATCTAGAATTTGACCACTGATGTCACTGTTTTCAACGGTTTTCAACCCATTTTACACACTGGACCTTCAATGTCAGACTGAATATTTACAGAAGAAGGGAAAGATATCTGTTGGATGTGATTGGTTGGTCCTTGTCACATGACATGTAAAAGTTGAACTCTTCATGTGGCTCCTAAGTCCGCCTAAATCTATCACATTGAACCTTTAAAGACAAATTAAAAATACAGTACATAACTGCATACATATCCCTGCTGGTTGTCAGTCTTACTAGTTACTTTAAAACATTCACTTGACATCTCAGCAGTGTGTCAGCACCATGGTAAGAAAGAGAACCAGCAGAGCTGCGACGCTGACAGACCACAATTAAGCAACACTGCTACACCACACTATGGAGCAACAACAGGCTTGGAACTTAACTTTTTTTGTCCGCCTGCCACTGTGGCTGTGGATTCCAACATCTACCAGTCACTCAATAGATTACCATTGGTTTTTTTGGCTGGTAAATGAAGCAAATCTCGCAGCCACGTGCATGTTTTACTAGCGTTGGCTGCTGGCTGGTGCTAAATTTCCAACCCCGACTAACAACCTGAAACAAAACCCATTATTTCAGGTGTGATACTGACCTTTTTCATCTGGCTCATACTTCTGGATTATGTTGCGTGCGTCCGCCAGCCCGGCTTTCTCTCTCTGTTCTTTCATCAGGAAGTCCACCAGGTTCTGCGAACTCATGAAGCCTGACGTCTTAGCATACTCTCCGTGGATCACGTCGACTTCCTCCCGACTGGTCAACAGATCGTAGAAATGTTTAATCTCCTCTCCAGACAGATATCCAGATTTGGATTTGTCACATTCCTGCATGACGGAAATGTTATAAAAGTTGGTCCACCTTGAACATATTATTTAAGGGACAGTTCACCCCAAAATCAAAAATATGTATTTTTCCTCTTACCTGTAGTGCTGTTTATCAGTCTAGATTTAGTTGGTGTGAGTTGCAGAGTGTTGGAGATATCAGCAATAGAGATGTCTGCCTTCTCTCCAATATAATGGAACTAGATGGCACTCAGCTTGTGGTGCTCAGAGTGCCAAAAAAGTACATTTGAAAAACTCAACAGCAATGTGTCTTTACAGAAAACATGACCCAGACACTAAAGAGAATCCACAGACCTTGTTGTGAGCAGTTTAGTAGTAGGAACTATTTTCTTTCTACCAAACTACACCCACAGACTGTATCCCTACACAGAGAGAAGCATGCATTGTTCAAAAAAGACTCTTTGTGACACGGGGTCAATCGCAGCCTTGCGGGATATTCTACTGAAGACACAGCTTACAACTTCAAATGCCGCAACAATGAGACAGCACCGTAAGGCAGTTCACCAAACACTCTTATAGTCCTCCTCAGACAAACATCATACCTAACTTTCCGTGTGTGTGTGTGCATGTGTGCGTGTGGATCCTGCCATTTCCCAGAACTTGTTTCACCATCACAATGTTTGCCAGGTTCAGCCCTGTGATAGTCTGGTGACCTGTCCAGGGTGTACCCCACCTCGCGCCCAGTGTCAGCTGGGATATGCTCCATTATTATTATTATGTCCACGCAACATTGCATGGACATCGGGGGCACCGGGGTGGTGGTCCCCATTTTCAAGAAAGGGGACCAGAGGGTGTGTTCCAACTACAGGGGGATCACATTCCTCAGCCTACCCGGTAAGGTCTACTCCAGGGTGCTGGAGAAGAGGGTCCGGTCGATAGTTGAACCTCAGATTGAGGAGGAGCAATGTGGTTTTCGTCCCGGACACGGAACTGTGGACCAGCTCTTTACTCTCGCCAGGGTGCTGGAGGGGGCATGGGAGTTTGCCCAACCAGTCCACATGTGTTTTGTGGATTTGGAGAAGACTTACGACCGTGTCCCCAGGGGCATCCTGTGGGGGTGGAGTATGGGGTTGGTGGCCCCTTGCTAAGGGCCATCCAGTCCCTGTACCGAAGGAGCATGAGTCTGGTTCGCGTGGCTGACAGTAAGTCGGACCTGTTCCCGGTGAGGGTTGGACTCCGCCAGGGCTGCCCTTTGTCACCGGTTCTGTTCATAACTTTTATGGACAGAATTTCTAGATGCAGCTGAGTGGTGGAGGGTGTCGGGTTCAGTGACGGGAGGATCTCGTCCCTGCTTTTTGCGGATGACGTGGTCCTCCTAGCTCCATCGAACAGTGACCTCCAGCTCTTGCTGGGGCGGTTCGCAGCCAAGTGTGAAGCGGCTGGGATGAGAATCAGCACCTCCAAGTCTGAGGCCATGGTCCTCAGCCGGAAAAGGGTGGATTGCCCACTCCAGGTCAGGGGGGAGGTCCTTCCTCAGGTGGAGGAGTTTAAGTATCTCGGGATCTTGTTCACGAGTGAGGGTAGGATGGAGCAGGAGATTGACAGGCGGATTGGGGCGGCGTCAGCAGTGATGCAGGCGCTTAACCGGTCCATTGTGGTGAAGAGGGAACTTAGCCAGAAAGCGAAGCTCTCAATTTACCGGTCGATCTACGTTCCAACCCTCACCTATGGTCACGAGCTCTGGGTAGTGACCGAAAGAATGAGATCGCGAGTACAAGCGGCCGAAATGAGTTTCCTCCGCAGGGTGGCTGGGCTCAGCCTTAGGGATAGGGTGAGGAGCTCAGACATCCGGGAGGGACTCGGAGTAGAGCCGCTGCTCCTCCACATCGAGAGGAGCCAGTTGAGGTGGTTCGGGCATCTGGTAAGGATGCCTTCCGGACACCTCCCTTGGGAGGTGTTTCGGGCATGTCCAACCGGGAGGAGACCTCGGGGCCGCCCCAGAACACGCTGGAGGGACTACATCACCCGGCTGGCCTGGGAACGCCTCGGGGTTCCCGCGGAAGAGCTGACGGAAGTGGCTGGGGAGAGGACTGTCTGGGCTTCTTTGCTGAGGCTGCTGCCCCCGCGACCCGGACCCGGATAAGCGGAGGACGACGAGTACAAGTACGAGTACGATTATTATTATGTTTAAATTTCACTGTCATGAGCACAAGCCTCTCGTCCATGAGTAGATGCACACTTCCTTCTGCACGGTGATACAGTTGGTGGGTGTAGTTTGGTACAAAGAAAATAGTTCCTACACGAAACTGCTCACAATAAGATCTGTGGATAATGTTGAGTAACCGGGTCATGATTTCTGGAGAGAGACATCGCTGTTGGACGGCAGGAACCCAACAAAAAAGGCCTCCGTATTATTTAGCAGGCTTTGCTTGTTGTGGCTTTATGTCATATTTCAAATAGTATTTGTAAAAAATAGTAAAAGATAAATGTTTTGATTTTTTTCTTCCCCCATTTGTGGCACCACCTGTGGATGACAGCACCCTTAGCATTTACCTGTACTGCCTATGCCTCAGGCCGGCACTGCGTTAGCTAGCTCAGTGGTGCTAGGCGAGCTAGCAGTAGATGTACGCTTCTTTCTGTGCATTTGTACAGTTGGTGGGTGTAGTAGAAAATAGTTCCTACATGAAACTGCTCACAGCAAGGCCTGTGGATTATCTCCAACACTCAGCAACACACACCAAAAGAATCTTGACTGATAAACAGCGCTACAGGTAAGAGGAGAAATATGTATTTTTCATTTGGCGATGAACTGTCTCTTTAAAAATCATCTTATTAGCATTACTATGATAGTAAATATCTAGTTTGCATTATTCTTCAGGCTTCAAAAGGTTATCCTGTGCTTAAATCATACATTAACATCGATTTTATTTTTGTTACGTCACTAAAAATCTGTGAGGGCATCACCTTAAAGAGCATCTCTGTGTATTCGTCATCCACCTCGATGTTGATCAGACGCAGGAAGTTCTTCAGCTCTGACTTACTCATCTTATCATCCTGGTTTTTGTCTGCTTTCGCCAGACAGCTGAAGATCCAACTGAAAGGTTTGTGATGTAAGGAGGAGATACAACAACATGTTTACGTCTGCATTATCTAAATGGTTGTGACTCCTATCACACGGGCACAGCGTGCAGCAGGAGCTCCTAAACCACAGACAAATGTTCACAGTCTAACTTCCACCGTCATGATAAGGATACTGCTCGGTCTTCTGCTGGGTGTTGAGGTTGTTTAATCTGGAGACCATCTTCTGCAGGCTGTTGACCCACTGCTTGGCCTCCTCCTCTGAGCTGGCGATGAGGTCCAGGGTCTTGCGGCGGCCCTTGAACATGATGGAGAAGCAGCGGCCCTCCACCTGCGCCTCTGTGTTCTTCTTCAGACCCTCTGAATGACGGCCCATTTGCACCTCTGAGATGTCATCAAGCGAGACTGAAGACAGGAGAAGAGTTGCAAATGTTATTTCACACTTCCAGTCAGGTGCGTGCACAGATGGATACCAGGTGGTGCTCAAGCACCTGCCCTCTTGCCCTCTGACCACATAAGTACCCCTCTTGCAAGACATGTTTTATTCTGTTTCTTTTAATAACTATTTATTTCAGTTTTTACATTTGGTCTGTGGCATCAATTCCCAATTAAAGGTGTGTCATATGTCTGACAACAGCATCTGAGCCTCTGCCCCTCTTCAACTTCGCTTGTGCAGAGCAGCATCACATCTCCCTGACCTGCCTTCATGGACAGCCAGGTAACAATACTGTTTGCCCTATGCGGAATTGCTTCCCCACTTCCACGCCTCTTTTTAAACCAAGCGGATGAAAATGGATGGATGAAGGCTAGAAAAACATTGCTCCTGCTCATTACTGTGTGCACAAATATACTGTTTGTACTTAGGCTTCAAGAAACCCTCTGGTGCTGGTAGACAAAAACCTCCAGGCAGGGTGCACATTGCTTTAGCACAATTTTTTTCTGCACCAGCACATTGCTCAGAGGGAAAAAAGATGTGGAGGGGATGCTCTTTTTTTCCCACTTGAGCACCTGCCTTGCAAAATGTTTATGCATGGCACTGCCTCCAGTACATCACTCCCTGCCATAGAACTCTGACAATATGCTGTTGTGCTAAACTAAAAAAAAGGAGTTCTTTAGTACTTCTGGTTTCTTCAGGCGTCACAGACCAGCCTGCTTGGTAAACACAAACCTGCTGTTTGCAGTTTATTCATTTTAAAATTCCAACTACACACAACCAGCACTGCTCACAATAAACTGCACCATGGACACTTTAGGGACACTATGGACACTTTATAAACACCATCATAAGCATTACTGTCCCCCTTGTTGTTGTTTTTTGCACATACAATCACTTGCACTAGATATGCTCTCTTCCACTTCTCATTCTCATTTTTGTACTTTCTTTTGCATGTCGAGTTTCTAAGTTTTTAAATTTTGAAATTTTTAACCTGACTCTTTCTCCTTGACTGCTGTAACACTGGAATTTCTCAATTGTGGGAACAATAAAGGTGTATCTTATCTTATCTTATCTTATCTTATATTATCTTGTCTTATTACAGACTTCCTGTGTTGGGCAGTACTGAACTACATGTAGTAAACTAGTAGTTTAACTACATCTTGCAGTAGCTTGCTGGTGGTTCAACTACATTAATATTTGCACAGTGATTCAAGTAGTTAGATTACAAATCAGACACTACCCCCGCGAAATGACTCATTTTACCATCTATTTGGTCGGATAACATTTGGAAAGTTTAGAAGAGCTGCACAATTGAATCATTTTCATCCCCACACAAGTTAGCAGGGCACTAAACTGAAAGTAGCCGGCTCAGCCGGGGAAAGCCTCTAGTGTACCTGCTCTATGGGCCCAATGATGCAGAAGCAGTGCCGATCGTCTGTGTAATCTGTAGCTGCATAATACTATAGGCAATGATTTTGCCTTCATGCACTACTGACAATGTTTATAGGAATGAGCTGGGTCCTGCCTCCAACGGTGTATCCTTGTCTCTGTATACATCCATGAGACCTGCTCTGTATGTAGAGGTAAATGTCTCATTCTAAACAGGAAACAGACAAAGTGTGACATGTCCGCCGCAGCAATATGTTGTAATGAAGTTAACTAAAGTACTGTAATGATCAAATTAAATAAAACTCTGCCATGAGAAATTTACATAAAAGTACTGTTATAAAAAAGTTGAGTAAAAGGTTGAATAAAGTACGGTTATAATAAAGTTAAGTAATGTCACAATAAAGTTACACAAAGTACTGTTATAATAAATGTAAATAAAGTAGTGTAATAATAAAGTTAAATTAAGTACTGTTACAATAAAGTTAAATAAAGTACTGTTACAATAAATTTAAATAAAGTAGTGTCATTATAAAGCTAAATAAAGTACTGTTACAATAAATTTAAATAAAGTAGTGTCATTATAAAGTTAAATAAAGTACTGTTACAATAAATTTAAATAAAGTAGTGTCATTATAAAGCTAAATAAAGTACTGTTACAATAAATTTAAATAAAGTAGTGTCATTATAAAGCTAAATAAAGTACTGTTACAATAAATTTAAATAAAGTAGTGTCATTATAAAGCTAAATAAAGTACTGTTACAATAAATTTAAATAAAGTAGTGTCATTATAAAGCTAAATAAAGTACTGTTACAATAAATTTAAATAAAGTAGTGTCATTATAAAGCTAAATAAAGTACTGTTACAATAAATTTAAATAAAGTAGTGTCATTATAAAGCTAAATAAAGTACTGTTACAATAAATTTAAATAAAGTAGTGTCATTATAAAGCTAAATAAAGTACTGTTACAATAAATTTAAATAAAGTAGTGTCATTATAAAGCTAAATAAAGTACTGTTACAATAAATTTAAATAAAGTAGTGTCATTATAAAGCTAAATAAAGTACTGTTACAATAAATTTAAATAAAGTAGTGTCATTATAAAGCTAAATAAAGTACTGTTACAATAAATTTAAATAAAGTAGTGTCTTCATTATAAAGTTAAATAAAGTAGTGTAATAATAAATCTAAATAAAGTAGTGTCTTCTTTATAAAGTTAAATAAAGTAGTGTAATAATAAATCTAAATAAAGCAGTGTTATAATAAAGTTCAAAAAGTACTGTTATGATAATTTTAAGTTAATTATTGTTATAAAAAAAGTTAAATAACTGACTTATAATAAAGTTAAATACAGTACTGTTATCATAAACTTAAAATAAAGCGCTGTTATAATGAAGTTACACTATAAATAAGGTCAAATACTTTTAGAATGGAGTTAAAGTACTGTTATAATAAAATTAAATAAAGTGCTGTTATAGTAAAATTAAATGAAGTTAATTTCATCGGTTTTAATAAAGTTAAATTAAGTATTGCTATAATGAAATAAATCAAAGCAGAACTACTGCTGCTTTTATTCTGAAGCACGCAGCTCGTCTCGGGCTGAAGAGAGTGGGGAGTGTGTCATATTTTTGCCCCTATTTCTGGTAGCTTCCACCAACACTGTAGCTTCAGGCAACTTTAACCCTTTGCTGCCTTCTATTGAGTTGCTAATATGCAAAGTTGTAGGATGCACCTTTAAGGGTTTTATGTCCCCAAACACGGCTATAGAAATAAGGACCTAACAGATATCAGACTGTGACTACATGAGGACAAGTTTATGGGTGTAATCATGGCTGTATAACCAGAGCTGTTTCAACCACTCCTGCCCACACTATAAAAAAAACCCCTATCTTGATAAACACACCCACACAACATATCAGCGCTATCAACAGCCGCCTGGTGGTGTATAATAATGATAAAAGGACTTTCAGACAGAAAGAATCTTTTATAGCTCTGTGACCAGTCGCTGAAGCACAAAACGAACCCATCTGACTTGAGAGGAGACGGTTTAAGTTGGATTTTGTTTGGTAATAAGTCATAAGTAAAGAAGAGGGGTGATACGTGTGTCCGTCCACCACAGCCCATGCAGGTGTGTGCAGGAGGGTGTCCAGCGGGGCTCACACACATGAAGGCGGGAAGCTGTGACACCAGCACTCACAAGTCTGGCTTGACTTGAAGGTTTTCTTGGACTCTCTCCAGACGGTCTTGCAGTCCTCCATGAGCCTGAAGTAACGGGTCCTCTTCCAGGACGGGGAGAGCACCTTGAGGAGGTCTCCCCCCTGCAGGAGGAACTGGAGGTCTGGATCACCCTCCATACCTGTGGAGCCAAAGAGCAGAAAATCAGTCAACGGATTAAACACTCACACAATCCATATGTCAGCTGACCTGCTCTCATGTCATCAGAAAACTGCAGGGAAGAAGTGAACGTCCCAAACAGCAGGCAACTGTGTGACTCCAGAGCATGCAGCCTGACCCTGGATCACACTTTGCTCCACACATCTGCTACATGTAACTGCAGCACAGCATACCTAGGATCTCCTCGGCCATCTCTATCATCGCCTGGCTCCTGACATACCGCCGTAACTCCTCAGATCTGCTGCGTTTGGGTTCATTTCGGAAGCAGTTCATGGTGCCTGCGGAGCTGAGACGCGTCCCCACAGACTGGACTGTGTTCACAAGGCGTTGGGACCGACCAGTGTGTCGGAGGGCGTGGACCTGCCCCACTCAAAGTTCACTCTCATCTCTGTCAGGACTCGTTTCAGGCAGTCGACCCACCGGCACGAACGTGCGTAACGTGACGCGGAGGTGGGTCCGAATGTTTGTCCGGTTTATACGTGATGTATTTAAGTCATTTCACGGAATATTTCCGGACTTGACCAAAGTTCAACACACTCAAAGAGTCTCCAACAACCAGGCAGTGAAGCTCATGAGCTGTGGTGACATGTCCCCGTTTTTGGGGGAACTGCCTGTCCCCGGAAATGTCCACGTTTTAACTGCAAGGCTGGCAACTACCAACTCACTGTGTGACACTTTTCACACGCTCTCACGCCTCACGTCCACGGGCGGATTATGAGACAACGGGTCCCTGGGCTCATACATGCAAAAGGCCCCACCACCTGACTACTACACAGGGGGCAAGATTGTAAATTTGTATGTGGTTATTTTGTGTCTCTTTTAGTTCATTCGATTAACTTCCTGGTTTAAGCTGTAGCCTCATTTATGCCACATACACAGAAAAAAAGTATAAAAAATAGGGCTGGGACTTTAACGCATTAATTTCAATTAATTAATTACAGAAAAAAATAACTCATTTAACCGCACCTTTCTCAGTTCCCTAATTTCTGGCACACCGGTATCACTGATGCACACACTCCAGCCCAGTAGGTGGCAGTAATGCACCTAAAGTTTTTTTGCTAGCTGTGAAGAAGATACACAGGATGCATTGAGTGACGTTAGCGAGAGATACTGGATGAAGGGAGATACCCAACTGTAGGCTTACCCAATGTTAAGAAAACGGTTACTCTTCCTGCCTCCTAAGTGGGCGTGGTTAGCTCTCCCTCCAATCAGAGCCTGTTCTCCCTCAACCCCCCACGTTCATTTTCCTCATTGACGACAATACATTCAGAGCTGCCGCAAGTCTCCTACGGGGGCATGGCGCTGACGTCACTGAATCAGGAAGTCAGCTGAGTTGGGTATCTCGCTTCATCCAGTATCTCTGCATTAGCGCACAAGAAAGTTTGGTGATCAGTAGTGATGGGATTTCTCATTCACTTGTGAGAGCTGGTTCTTTGGCTCTCGTTCACTTTGAAGAGCCGGCTCAAAGATGTGGTTTGTTAATACTTTTTTTTTTTTTTTTTGCTGTGTGTGTGTGTGTTTGTGTGTGTGGGGGGGTGTTAGTGGGTTCATTGACGAATCGCATTGCTGATTTATCGCATCACGTGATCTGGATATTGTAACATGGACCCAGAATAGATTCCGCAGATATAAAGTTTGGTGTAGCCATGGCAACACCCTTTATAAACAACAAGCCTAGCAGATAGTGGGTTAGCTTCTTGCCGTTAGTTTCTAACTCGTTCACTCTAAAGAGCCGGTTCACTTGTTCACTTCAAAGAGCCGGTTCAAAGACTCGGCTTGTTCGCGAACGTCACATCACTGGTGATCAGTGATGGAAGACGAGACAGCATTGCTTAGCTTGTTGGGTGGAAATTTTTTTTTTTGTTTGTTTTTTTTTTAACTTCCCAATGGCAGCTTGGATAAGAGCATGGTTGTGTGCAAATTGTGCAACAAAGAGTTTTCTTATCACCGCAGCACTTCAAGTCTAAGGTATCACCTCAATGCAAAACATGTTGCTGCGTACAACAGTCCTGGTACAGGCAAACGGTGTAGCCAGCCCACGCTATAGACCACATGATGGCTTCAGAGCCAAAAAGTCTTAAAATGTTGAATATTATCGTTTTAATTGCACTTTGACTTTGCACTAATCTGTGAATGTAGCAGACAGATGAAAAATTCACAGATAAATATAGATGACAAATAAACATTTTTGTTGTTTAAGTTCACGTGTATGTCTATTCATTGATTCAGTGGTCAACCAAAATTGATTTGAATTGAAAAACTTTGCGTATTGTGTCAAATATTGCTGTTTGATAACAATGCGATTAATCGAGATTAATTAATTACAAAGCCTCTAATTAATTAGATTAATTTTTTTAATTGTGTCCCACCACTAGTAAAAATATATCAAAAATATTTAATAGAGTAAAAACTATGATAAAATAGCCAATAAAATAGAATATATATGAATGTATGTATAAAGATGCACTAAAGGAGGAAATAAAACAGACACATTTTGTAGGGCTGCCCCGACTAGCTTTCCTAGTCGACCAATAGTCATCATTCAGGGCCATTAGTTGACAAGTCGGCCTATATTTTATCTACAAGTCCACGTCACACACCGGCAACCCACCGGCACTAATGTGTGTTAATGTCACGTGGAGGTGGTTTAAACTCTTCGTCCGGTTTGTGCTAAATGTTGATATATTTTACAGAATTTTCGCCTGTTCAAGTCCCCGTTCGGACCAAAATAGGGAGCGTGGACTGGTGGCCAGAGAGGTGCCAGTTCACCTCCTGGGCACTGCCGAGGTGCCCTTGAGCAAGTCACCGAACCTCCCAACCACTCGGGGTGCCTGTCCATGGCTGCCCCCTCACTCTGACATCTCTCCACTTTGTGCACGTATAGGTCCTGTTTGTGCATGTGTGTGTCTTTCGGACCTAACCAAAATTTCACAATAGTTAGTTTACTTTAGCTGCTAGCTAATAATCTCACTTAATCCAAAGCCTATATCCTAGATCCAGTGGATCAGTGGATGACACTGCACACCTAATTTTAATGTGAAAGTTAAGAGGTGCCAGGTTTCAGGAGCAAGTTAAGCAGTGAGTATCCTGCTTCAAGTAAAATGCTGCTGCAAATACTTTTCACATGACCAGAGTACAGTTCTCTAAAATAACAATAAATACCTAGTTATATCTTAAGATATTAAACATTGTGCAAAATATTATCGGTCAGCAGCTTCAGCACAAAGAATTAAGTTCAGTATATTTTATTTTAGCTTAGCTTAGCTTACTTATGTAGGGACAGAGCAAATTAATAAATACACATTTTATAAAAATGCCAGAATTAGCTAAAAGGCTATTTTTCATCTGTAGTCCTTTGACCAGGATGTTACAAAAGGCTACCTAAAATACAATAAAGCACAAAAAAACAAATCAAAAAGAAAGAAAAAAAATAACAACAACAAGGCATAGAGTTTAAAAGACTTCTTTGAACACATCAAAAGGAAATTATTTTAACTTGATTCTTTAGTCATGAGAATGTAATGATCATCACATGTGTGATTCAGTCCTGAAACTTGAGGCAGAGTTGATGCTATAAACTCATGAAACCCTGTTTTGGGTTGACTTGACCTTAAACTTCATTCTACGTAACTTTGACCTGTTGTCCTTGTTCATGGACACGTTTTGTGCCATCTAGTGATAGTAAGAGCACAATACACTAATCCATGTAAAAACAAGATGGCAGCCATCTCTGCCAAGTCAGTCTGCACCCGATCCTGACACAAAAATGGACAAGGTCCAAAACCTGATCACATTTAATGGTTGAAACTTGTTTATTTATGATTAATAATGTTTGTAGTTTGATATGGCAACAAATTGACCAATTTTAGCAACAGTAACAAGGTAAGACGTTAATTAGAAAGTACTCGTTTGAGAACACTGGGACTTTATTGTCGCCTGGTTTGAGAACATTAGGACTTAATTATAGTTGACAGCGTATAGTTTTTTATACTTATCAGGTCCTACTGATCCTAAATAGCTAGGAGGAATTGAAAATACATACCAAACAAAGGTTCATGTCTCAGGAGGCGATAAAAGGACATACAGTTCTTAACAGCGCTAGAGGAAGAAGTGACATATCTCCATATAGATCAACACTGCAACACTAGCAGGACATATTATTATTATTATTATTATTAGCTGCAGCAGGAAAGAGTTCAGTGCTTACATGTATACGTATTAATCATCCATTCTTTTAATTGATTACTGAAAGATCTACAAGTGTTTAGTTCTCTGATATGAACTGGAATTATATTCCACTCTCTTGAACCTCTGACAGACCAGACTGACCAGCTAAAAGTATTTTTCCTCAGTGGAATAGCACAGTCTCCTTTTATGGAACCTCTAGTGACACGATTAACGAATTAGGCTTCTTTCTTAATGTTAACCTGGTGGAACCCTATTGCTTCAGCTCTGCCAAAACTGAAAGTCTGTAAATAGTCTGAACCTGCCTTTTTGACGAACATTTTAAAGTTGATGTAAGCACTGCAGGTATATCTGTTTTTTATTTCATTGCTCATTTATTTATATGTTACTGTATGTTGTGTTATGGTATGTGTGCAAAGCAAACTGTTTAAACAAATTGCCACTGGAGGGATTAATAAAGAATATACTTCACCTGCTTCCTCAGCGTCACCACACAGGATTGGACATGTATGGAGAAATGCACATGTAATGAGAGTAAGAGGCAGACTGGCTGAATGTGGAAAAGCTGAAACATGTTGAAATTGTTTTGTAAAACGGTTGGTGTTTTCAGAGTGTACTTGCACTCATGTGCACTAAAAGGAAGTGAAAATTAGGAGGTGTTGTTACTCAATGGTGAAATCACACTGGGCTGTCTGTGGCCCGTGAGCTAAAATGAGTTTCACACCCCAGCTCTAGGTGAAGTTACTGTGAAATATAACATGTAAAGTTTGTGTTCAGTCTTGTAATTGTTGACTCGCTGGCTCCATCTAGTGGTGGCGCCGCGGTACTGTCGAGCGCTGTGATTTAACCTGACTCCCTTTAAAAAAAAAGCCCACAGCTGCTTAAAAACATGTCAACAAACACACTAAATGCCGAGAAGAGACAAATATGGGTCTGTTAATCACCTTCAGATAACAGTGTTTGCAGTTTGGGGTTTGCTTTTGTCCTCTGGTTCACTGAGGGCTGTGCGCTGTTTTGGTTTGGCAACACTTGACACTAGGCTGGAGACATGGAGCCACACCTTTGGCAAGGTGTAAAGTGACCTTTAAGTAATCTACGGGTTATGTTTATTAAGTCGATTTGGTTCAATGTCGTAAATACACGTGAAGAAAGGTGTGATTGCGCAAGCCTCTCTTGCTTTTCGGTGTGAGGATTATGGATTAAATGTTGGAACAACTTCCATCAAGTTCAAAACGTGCTTTAATTTGCACAGTTAAATTAAAAATAAGTGTCCTACCTGTGCTTTTATTTTCAATCCCATTGGTTTCCATCCTGTCTGACTTGTATCTGTGTTTTCACGCAGTAAAATCTTCCTTGTCCTCGTTTCACTTGATGCACAGTTTCACCTGAAGCTGCTCCTTCTTTCCATGAGCGCACGTAGACAAGAAGACAGCAAGTTTACGATTGCTGCGCCGAGCGTAATGACAAAACACCTCAAAGGCGGCGACACAGGTGGGTTTCTCCTGGCAGCGTGAATAGTGTCAGCACTCCTGTAGGGCTCCAACACCGGTTTGACAAGCCTGCAATGCAAGCTGCACTGCTGATGTCACAACAGGGCAGGTTACACCTCAGCACCAGCTTTTGCCACCAGGCATGGGACTGGTTAACATAACATCCTGACTCCACAACCAGCTTTGAGAACATGCAACAGTATCAGCTGGCGTCTGCACCTGCAGCCAAAATTAAAAACTTTAATCTTTGCCTTTTACAGCCCTGTTCCTTACAGGCCGAGTGCTCACCCACAGGAAACTCTAGATGTGAATAAACAGGGAGGGGACGTTTACCTGAGAAGCACACACACAATCCCCAACATACTGTAATCAGGTTTTAAAATGAATATTTATTCAGTGTGGAATTTTCCTATGACTTAACATCTTTAGAGCAGCTTTAGTATTTACATGTGGACACCTGTTACTCATTTAAACACAAGGTAAACATGACCAAGCCTGAATAGCAGGGTTGGCTCACGGCCCGGTCACATAGTTGACAAATGAGTTGGAGCAAATATTGGTTACACTGAATGGGACAGATGAAGTTTTGCTGCTCTCCTTTTCATGTGCAGCTTAGCCTTGGCAGGATAATAGCACTGCAGTGGCTGGTGCGTTGGGGGCTCTTGTGGCTCTCAGCACTTCCCTTTCAGGTCTGGCTTACCCTCAGCGCACTGTCAGCATCAGGATGAGTGAGCTTTAAAGCAGCAGCAGAGGGGGAAGAGCTTCCGGGCAAGGGTCGACCACTTCCAAAAAAGCCCCACGAGGTGCAGGGGAACACGCAGGAGTGCAGCGTGGTCTTTAGATCGTGGCTGTGGATGCATGTGTGAGAACATATGATGTGGGATATTTTCTGAAATGCAAAAGAAACTAATGCTACATATGAGTTTTTAATCACCTCTGTCCTCCATGGATAAGACTACATGCATCTTTAGTTTGGTTTCATATTACACACACTGACACACCTTCCTCTGTCTGGAAGCTTCTCTGCTTCCTTTGGGCCAGTTTGGCTCAGGTGCTTTGCTCAAGGGCATCTTGAGGTCATGGGCGTATTATGAGACAATATGGGCCCCTGGGCACAAATATGCAAAGGGACCCACCACCTCTACTACACAGGAGCAAGACACAGACACTTTGTGGTTGTTTTGCGTCTCTATGTAGCTGTTATGCATGTTTTTGTATTTGTTTGGGTCTTTTTGGGTTAATTTTCTGTCCCTTTTAGTTGTTATGTGTCTGTGGTAATTTTGTGCCTCCTTGTAGTTGTTTTGTGTCTTTTTGTAGTTGTTTAGGTCTCTGAAGTAACTGTGTGCCTCACTGAGATACTTTTGTGTCTCTTTGATGTGATTTTATGCTTTATTAGGTCATTTTTGCATCATTGTGTAGTCAGTATTTGTCTCATTTTGGTGATTTTTGTGTCTTTGAAGTCGTTTTGTGTGTTCTAGTGTCTTTCTGCAGCCATTTTGTGCCTCCTTGTAGTTGTTTTTTGAGTTTTTGTTGTAATGTTGCTCTCTTTCATGTAAATTTTGTGTCTTAGTAATAAGGTAATTTTGTGTCTTCTTGTGGTTATGTTATGTTATGTTATGTTCTTTATTTATACAGCCCTTTACAACAACCCTTTCGGTGAACCAAAGTGCTTTACAATAGGTGCAAAAAACAATTAAAAATAAATAGAGGCAATAACAACAATAAAAACAATAAAAGCAATGAAAATAATAAAAGCAATAGGAGCAATAAAATACAATAAAATAAAGTAAAACAGAGGAAAAGTAAAAGAGTCACCACACTACTGGGTATTAAAAGCCATCCTAAATAAATATGTCTTCAGTCTAGATTTGAAAAGGCCCAGGTCAGAAATGAGGCGCATTTCAACAGGGAGCTTATTCCAAAGCCTGGGAGCAGCAATGGAAAAGGCTTGATCACCCCAGTGTTTGTATTTTGACCTGGGCACTTCCAGCAAAAGTTGGTTTGACGATCTTAGCGCTCTACCAGGTTCCCGAACAGTTAAAAGCTCAGTTAAGTACACTGGGGCGAGACCATGAAGAGCTTTAAAAACAAACAGTAAAATTTTAAAATCAATCCTATACTGGACGGGAAGCCAGTGAAGGGATTTAAGAACAGGAGTGATGTGCTCTCGTCTGTTAGTGCTGGTTAAAAGACGGGCCGCAGCATTTTGCACCAGCTGGAGGCGACCAAGAGAAACCTGGGAGACACCAACATAGAGAGCATTACAGTAATCCAGTCTAGAGCTTATAAGAGCATGGATGGCCATTTCGAGGTTGCGGCGACTTAAAAACATTTTAACTTTGGCCAGGAGACGAAGCTGGAAAAAACTAGTTCGGACAACACTGTTTATTTGTTTGTCGAATTTAAGGTCTGAGTCAAGAAACACTCCCAGATTTCTGACATTTTGACTGAGTGTTGGAAACAAGGTTCCAAAGCCAGTCGTCCCTGTGTCCCCAAACATGATGCACTCTGTTTTACCATCATTAAGGTGAAGAAAATTCTGGGCCAACCACTGCTTAATTTCAGCCACACAGGAAAACAAAGAACTCTGCGCACTTTGACTGTTTGGCTTCACTGGCAGATAAATTTGCAGATCATCTGCATAACAGTGAAAGGAGAGGTTGTTCCTGGCTATAATTGACCCAAGAGGCAACATATACAAAGAAAAAAGAATAGGGCCCAGAATAGACCCCTGTGGGACCCCACAGGAGAGAGGAGCACTTGACGAGGACAAGTCACCAACCATAACAGAGAAGGTTCTGCCGGATAAGTATGATTCAAACCACTTCAGTGCTGTACCGCGAATGCCAACATAATCACACAGGCGTGACAGGAGGACTGAGTGGTCCACCATGTCAAAGGCAGCTGAGAGGTCAAGTAACACTAACACAACAGGAAATTTGGTATCCACTGCCCGTGCAATATCGTTATGTACTTTTACATTTTTTACATGGTTGTTTTGTGTCTCTTTGTAGTTGTGTGTGTGTCTTTGTGGTTGTTTTGCCCATTTTTTTGTCATTATTTTGTGTCTTTCTGCAGCCATTTTGTGCCTCCTTGTAGTAGTTTTTTGTGTTTTTGTTGTAGTTTTGCTCTCCTTGAAGTAAATATTGTGCGTTATTGAGGTAATTTTGTGTCTCCTTGTAGTTGTTTTGTGCCTTTTTGTAGTTGTTTGGGTCTTTTTTTTTTTTAGTCATTATGCGTCTTTGGTAATTTTGTGTCTTCTTGTAGTTGTATCTCTTTGTAGTTGTGGTCTCTTTGAAGCCATTTTGTGTCTTACTGAGGTAATTTCATGTCTTGTTTTGGTGATTTTGTGTCATTGTGTAGTCATTTTGTGTCTCCTTGTGGTTGTTTTGTGTGTCTTTGTAGTCATTTTGTGAGTTTGTGGTTGTTTTGACCATTTCTGTAGTCATTTTTTTGTCTGTTTTTAGTTTCTCTGCATCTTTTTATAGTAATTTTGAGACTCGTTGTTTTGTGTCTTTTTGTACTTGTTTAGGTCTCTTTGAAGTTATTGTGTGTCTTATTAAAGTTGTTTTGTATCTCGTAATTGTCTGTCTTGATTTTTGTCTTGTGATGTTATGCTTTCCCCGGTCAATTTTTGTCACTGTGTAGTCATTTTGTGTCTCCTCATGGTTATTTTGTGTCTCTTTGGTTGTTTTGCATCTTTTTGTAGTTGTCTACCTCTCTTTGCAGTCATTTTGTTCCTTATTGAGGTAATTTTGTGTCTTTTTGTAGTCAGTTTGTGGGTCTTTGTGGTTGTTTTGCCCATTTTTTGAAGTTATTTTGTGACTTTCTGCAGTTCCTTTGCATCTCTCTGTGGTCATTCTGAGCCCATTTAGACCTAATAACATCCATTTTGGGTGATGTGATCACAAGCAGGCAGCGCTCATCACTCAAACCACTTGCTGAGGTGGTCTGGGACACATCTGACCACATATCTTTTGTAGTGTAAGCACTAATGTGTTCTGAAGCGTACCAGATGAGGATTACATCATCACTGCAGGACATGGTTGTTTTGGTGACAGCGTGCTAACACTCTATAACTCAACCATTTTATGATGAGCTGGACAAAGTGTTGCGTGACCATCCACGGTTTTGCCCTATGGAAGGAGACGTGTTGAGTTCTGCTGACAGTGATATCTCCAACTGTAGTGACACAACCAGTAATGTGACTAGCAAGCATGCTACAGAGCAGCTAGTAAAAGTGTGGATGTAATAACTCTGTGTGGGGCAGTAATGAAATCTCAACACAAGTGGTCAGCTGGAGGTGTATGATAGACACAGGTGTGAACAGTCATGTGTCTCGGCTGTCCACTTGTGTTCTGATCACCAAAACGCATGTTAATATCAGGTCTAAACAGGCTTTCTGAGTCTCCTCTCGGTCAGTACATGTTAATTTGGGTGACATTTTGAAGGTGAAGGCCAGGGGGCCCACTGACACTTTGAGCCCCAGCATGGGCCTGTGTCTGGTACGCCCGTTCAGTAATCCATCCATGTTTGAAGTACCTGATGAGACCTAACTTTGAACATCTTTTTCCTTCGTTTTAGTCAAAATAAAATAAAAAATAAAATTTAGAAATTATAAAAAATATTTTAATGATAGCAAGGCAGCTTTATTTGTATAGCACATTTCATATACCAGGGAAATTCAAAGTTTTTTACAGAGTAATAAAATGTAAAACATGATAAAGGATTTAAAAGACAATAAAAGAGTAAAGAGAAAAAGATATAAAGGGTAGAACTAATTACTAAATAATTTACAATTTAAAAAATGCCATTAAAAAAAGAAAAAGTGTCGATAAGAAGTGAAAAGATAAAAAAAAAGTAAATTAAAGTGATTTAAAATCGAGTTTAAGAATAAGTTTGCAGTCATTACAGGGTGAAGTAGGCAGTGTAAAAAAGGAACATTTTTAGCTTTGACTTGAAAGTGTTCAGTGTCGGGGCTGTCAAACATCATCTGGGAGGTTATGTCAGAGATATATTTGGGTGCTAGGCCACAGAGTGAGGTACAAAACAGAAA